ATCAACACCTGGCTGACTGTTGCTTCTGTTAACTGCCTAGTTTAGTACTTCCAGTTTTTTTGAACTTCTTTAGTTTTCCATCAATAAAAGCACAAAAATGCTTATAGCTCACAGCATGTGTGTGTTTTGGTTTAAGAGAACTTCACTGTAAGTTAGTAGTGTAATCATTTTTCAGATGATTAATTCTAGCACTTGGATTTTTATTTATTTACTTTTTAATCCACAGAATCAATGGCAGGAACTCTTCCATACAACCAGTAAATCATCTGTTCTTTCTTATCACTTTGGTGGTCCTATGACCAATTTAAAACTTCCCCTTCCATGCAAAGCGGAAATCTGATGATTTAGCTGAACTGTATTCTATGTAGTACGATTCATCACTTTGTCTTCTTTAATCTTGCTTTAGCAAAATGTTTTATGAAGAGTACACACTGTAATAAATTAAATCATAGAATCATAGAATGGTTTGGGTTGGAAAGGACCTCAAAGATCATCTAGTTCCAACCTCCCTGCCATGGGCAGGGAAATCCTCCACTACACCAGGTTGCCCAAAGCCTCATCAAACCTGGGCTTGAACACCTCCAGGGATGGGGCATCCACAACTTCTCTGGGCAACCTGTTCCAGTACCTCACCACCCTCAATGTAAAGAATTTCTTTCTTACATCTAACGTAAATCTGCCCTCTTTCAGTTTAAATCCATTGCCCCTTGTCCTGTCACTACACGCCCTTGTAAAAAGTCCCTCTTCAGCTTTTCTGTAGACCCCCTTTAGGTACTGGAAAGCTGCTATAAGATCACCAAGATCTTATCACATATCTTGATCATTTCTCCTTGTGATTAATTAAAGGAAGAATTTCCTTGATAATTTTTTAATTCATTAAATTCATTTATTTAAAAAAAATACAGTGTTTAAATCTGGAGAGGGAAAGAATGTAGAAGAACTTGTCTGTATAATAGCTATGTGGCTGTATGATACCTCCTAATAACAAGCCGACTTTGGGGAAAATGGGTAATGAAACAGGACTCTACAGTACATGGTAAAGATTCAAAGTAATTATACTTATTTTAACAAAGACTAGTTGATGTGCTCTCTATACATGTAATATTTTCAGCAGGCTCTTAATATCAAAATGTCTGGGACGAGAGCTTTCTTTAGCTGTGAGATTTCAGACTTGGAATTTGAGATTTGGCTGTCTACATATGGTGGTATGGTGCCACCATCATTGAAATGTCCTAGCCCTGTGCAAGACAACTATTGTACTGGAGTAGCAGTTGGAAGCCAAGCAGAGTAATCTTCCATGCTTGAACACTGGTGGTTGGTGTCAGTTTAGGTAACAGAGTTACTCTCCTTAGGGTGAGTTTCAGTTTGAAGTTGATGATACTCAAATTTTCATGCTTAACGTTTTAGGTGACTGCAGGTGAGATGGGCATCTAAACTCAGGTTGTAGCCAGAGGGCATCTGGTCAATACAGTCGGTAGAGCCTGTAGATCTTGCATTGCGTCTGCCTGTCTTGTGCAGATGTCTCGTTCCCTAAGGCCTTTCAAATGGGGCTTGTGTGTGAGTACCTTGAATCAAGCTCAAGCTGCCGTCAGTATTCCTGACAAGATCTCCTTGACCAGAATGGAAGCTTTGACGTAGTCTGCAGTGTCACATGTACACATGTAGCTACTTGTAAGTGTCTTAACCTGAAACTTAGTCGTTCCCTTACGTGTCAGTTTTTTTCTCTCCTTGTACATCAATGCAAAAATTAGTTTCCACACTGAAGATCTTTCTTTTTTAATGAATTAGCGCTTAGTTAACAAGCAGTCCAACTGCTTTCTTCACATTTGCATGTAGTTCTGTGCAACCCATAAAACGCCCTTTTATTTTCCTTCACTCAGTTAGGCGGTTGCCTTAAAAATCCTCAAAGAAAACCTGGCATAGTATGTAGATAGCTTTTTCTGTTGTTTTAACCAGAACAAACAACACCCACCACCTAACATTAGTCAAGAGTCATGCTCTGTGAAAGCTTCTTGCCCAAAGTGAGTGCTCTGGCAATCCGAAGCTACTAATCAAGGAGTATTCGTTAAGCTATATTTACATTCTAACCCTGCTTTCCATATCATATTTATACTGATGAAATAAGCCAGATTTTGGTGGGAGTTGTGTGTGCATCTACTCAGAGTGCTGTTTCAGCAATAGTAGATTACAAATCTATTCAAGACCCACCGAATGGTCTAGAATTCCTGTTTGATTATGGAGTACTCAGAGATTCAAATCCTTAGTTATCATGAACATTTTTGTGACCTTTAAACTAGTACCTTTAGGTTCGTGCTTGATGTGTTGTTATGACTGGTTACGTTCTCTTGAAATGTATGTAAAGAATGAGACTGGTTTTGTTGCTAAATACTGTTGGCTCTGAAAGAAGGGGGAAAAAAAACCAATGATATTTTACTATTCGTAGTTGGTACTCCACTGGCATGTCTGAGAAAGAGGAATGATTTGGCAGCTGGTAAACACTGTTGGTGTCTTCCCCAGCCTCCCATTTTAGAATCCCGGAATTAATTTCAGACTTCATATCTAATTTTAGTACTCCCTTGCTAGTTAACAAATAGAAATGAAAGTAAGTTCTGTAAAATTGTGCAACAGATAAATCAGCTTTTAATTGACTACAGAAGAGCGTAGGGGGTTAAGCCTCTGATGTTAAAATGCAGCTTACGTGAATTCCCCTCTTCTCCTCATACCGATGGTGTAAGACTACTTGAAAGCTCTGTTTACATCAAGACAAATGTGACTAAGGTAATTTTAACAACAGAATGCAAACAGATCTTGAAGAAACGAGAAAGTTGTATGAAATGTTAGGCTTGTACATTCTGCAGTAAAAGTTCAGGTCAGATCTTTTACTGGCTGTTTTTTTTATTTGTTTTTCTTTTCAAAAGTAGTGAGAATTTTGTTTTCTGCCTAATTGAAATCTATGAGTGTAGGAGGCAAAATTAAACTGAAAAATTTGGCAGTAAAGCATAGCTTCAGTATCTGAACTGTAGTTAATATTTTCTGCTATAAAACTCCGACTGGCATGACAGCATCATTGCATACCTTGTCTGGTACGATACCGAGGGACACTGGAGTCCCGTCTCCTGTGCAACAGCGTATATTTGTAATGGTGCACCCGCACCATCTTGAACCTCAACCTTGTAGAGAGAGATCTCTCTAGTCACACCGTTTCTTTTGCTCTGCAGTTCAGTTATATTTGTATTCTCTTTAATTGGCTCCTGGAGCTGTTTCTTGTTCACTGTGGCAGGCTTCTGCGTAGCGTTTACTTGGTAGGAGCTTCTCTCACACTCCTCACTGATGGGGGATGTGGTGTCCGTTTCCTGAGAAGTGAGTTGGATGGGAAAGGATCTTCTTTGCTCTTATTGATAACTGTATATGCCCCGACTGTTTTCAGAGTGACAAAGAACCAAAAGTAGATTTTTAATTAGGCCTCAGAAATGAAGTACTCTGTATCTGAGCTGCTCTGCATCTAGTGTGTCAGTAGCAAACCTGAGAACATATATGTGGACAAAGTATGTTTTTGTTTTCAAATATCCAGCCTTGACTTCAAAGGAGTTCAATTTCTGGGAAAGAATGGGAGAAACTAAAAGATGAGTTTGGAGTTAGGTGCTTCAGGTACATCTGGTCCTGACTTTCAAGTCCCTGCTGCAGAGTAGGATTCAGAGCCCTACATTAGTTCTTAGATTGTATTTTTTATAGAGATCAGGGAGAACTGGCTGTCTCTAAACAGCACCTAAAATACTGAGTAACCATAGTGAGTGAGGAGTGGCCTGAAGGTTGTTAGTAACAAAGACAGAATATAAGTAAAACCCAAAGCTTAACCTCTTTCTTCTTGTACGTATTTTGCTCAAGACTGTAAAGGCGCTTCTCCGTTCACTTTGCTCCCCTGTCTATAAACTAATTTCTGAAAGCAAATATTTACTAATTTTCAAATAATAGAACTAAGCAAGAATTTCTGGTTTAAGATGCAGCTGGAGGAGGGGATGTTGACAGTCTGGAATTTAGATCACTCTTCAAAAAGCCACGAGACCATTCAACTTTTCATCTTGAAATTTTTCGTGTAAATTAACTTATTTCCTTTCACTAACTGCTATATATTTATTGCTTATATAGTGAAAATCTTTGTACTTTGTATGGAGAGAAATAAATTCTACTCTTTATGGGAGGAAACGTTACAATTTAAATTATAATATTTGTATCCTTATATTTGCTTTGTTTCAAAAATAGAAAGAGGGAGGCCAAAGGAACATAATGCCTTTATTTGGAGGACCATGCCAATAATACTTGTTTTGAAAAGATATGAATTCATCTCTAGTTTCTTATTTTTCAGGATCAACAGATTGCATATGCTATTCAACTGTTGGCATTTCTGATCCAGTAACATCAGCTCTTCATATTATTGTAGGTGGGTGGTTACATTTCGCTGTTTTGTTATGAAAAATATTAAAATAGCAGAAAAAAATAATTTCATTTAGTTCTTTCGATATGTCTGTGAAACAATATAATTTGAACATAATGGCTGAGTTGAAATATGAAGTTTTTGTCTGGGATTTAAGTCTCTGATTTTGAATACAGGAGGTTAAATATTAATTACTTTCTCTACTGTAATTCATTGTTTTCAAGGGATCATAACATTTTGAAATTTTGTATCTGCTGCTTAAGTTTTCATGCATTCTGGCATGCTTTGAAAATAGCAGTAAAATACAATAAGCAGTGTAAATTATTGGACTATTTCTCTCTCTTAGAGACTAAGCTATGACGTTTGAATAGTAGCATTTGTACTAGTTGTCCAATTGTCCTGTGCAATTCAATGCTTCCATGCAAAGTTAGAAGTACAGCTTCTGCTTGACTGGAGTTAGCTGATAATCCCCCATTTTTGCGATCTCTAAGTCATATATTTGAGGAGGAACTAGGGAGGAAAACAACTACTTTTAAATAAATGCTTTTTGATATGTTGTTGTCAGTAGGGTTGCTGACATTGCTGCTTCTCAAAGTCCGCTAGTAATGGAGTCCCTGAACTTCACGGGGGCTGAAGGAGACAGCTTGGCATATTCAGTGCATTGTGGTTTGTGATGATCATCCTGTCTTGTCATATACTGAAGAATCATAGTCACCCAGTTCTTAATACTGAATCTGAAAAATTGTTCAAGTTAGCCTTCAGTTATAATGATGTTGCATAAGCATGAAGGATAGAATTTCCAAGTGACAGTTACTTCATTATTACTTGTTTATTGAGTGCTTAACAGTGGCAGTTTTAGGAGCTGGTGTTGCAAAGGTTTACACATGTGCTTCTCTGTTACTAACCTGTGGTTAAATCCGTTCAGCCTATGTAGAGTTTAGGCCATTGGACTAGGATTAGAGAGAGAAATGGATTTAGTATTTCATAGTACTTTAGCTGGATTATTAAATGTGCATACATACACATGTATTTAGATTTTTTTAAGGGTGTTTCTCACTTACATAAAGGGTTCTTCACAGTTGTCAGTAGTGGAAGGATGAGAGACAATTGGCATAAAGTGAAACAAAACAAAAAAAAAAAAAAGAAAGGAAAAAAAAAACACAAACCAAACAAAACAACAAAAAAAAACAACAACAAACAAACAAGAGAAGAAACACCACCACCCAAAACCCCCCACCACTCCAAAGCTTACGCTATAAGGACATCAGAGAGGAGGTGTACTCTCTGTTCTTTGGGTTGTTTTCAGGACTTGACTGGATGAGCTCTGAGTAACCTGATCTGACCTCATAGCTGAGCCCACTTTGAGTGGGAGATTTGATGAGAAACCTCCTAAGGCCCATTCCAGCTTGAATTATCCTCTGTTAGTATGACATACAGGATTAAGTAGTATCCGGTAGATGTACAGATAACAACATTGATCTCTTCTATAACATCCTCTCCTACTGCTACATGGTGAATGAACGTAAATTCTGCTTTATAAATTCTTAGCACACCAACCTTTCTTCTCACTTAGTGCTTAATGTTTTTTTTTAATATTAAATTAAATTAGTATTAAAAAGTTTTCCCTTTCTGCATGTATAAGAAATATATATGGATATATGACATATATGTCTTATGATATAAATACAACATTTTTTTTTTATTTTAAAAAATCTTTAACATTAAGGTTGCTATCATGTTTGTAGCTGCAAACAAAATCAGCTTTAATAGAACCTTACACTTTTAATCTTCATAGGTGACTGTCAGCCTCTGGATGTCTCTTCTGTACATCATAACAACACATTTTTGAAGTACTCTGTATCACTGCTGGGTTATGGTTTTTATGGAGATATATTAAAAGATAGTGAAAAGAAGCGGTGGATGGGCCCGATAAGATATGATTACTCAGGTAACAAGTGTAATTATTACCTTCTTTTGTCAGCACATAAATGTATTGGAGCAGTTGATGTGCTCTCTCCAAACCAAGCCTCTCTGAAGCTTTTAAACATAAGAGGCAGATTGAACCTGATTTTAGATTCCTTGTGGTACCAAGTACATTGGATCACATTATGTAAAGTTCCATAACTTGGTGGATAACATTAACAGTGTGCTCATTAAAGTTGTGTTGAATTTGACTATGTAGCACAGTTAATAAATGAATTGATAGTTAAAATATTAAGTATTTTGTGAGCTTTGTAAAGAACTAAAAAGTTTATATTGAACTGTTACGAATTATGTTGGAAGCCACCCTAATTCAAATTTGTTTAATAAGCTTTTTTCTTAATGAAATTGCTAGTGCTGTTTGGTGTTGTTAATAGAAATGTGTTGCTCTATGTCACACAGTGATAGCTGCCTAAAAAGTAGTATCTTTTCTGTGCTAATAATTTTTACTTTCTTATCAATCAGAGAGAAATAGGCACTCCTCTGTCTTGGACACTTGACTGATGAAATGAATTATTAATATTGTCGTTCTTTCAGCACTGATTGTAAAGAGAGCTGAGTGGTTTAGCCTAGTTAGCTAGTATTTGGAGAAATCCTATGTTACTGGAAGATATTTTTTTTGCCTTATTTGATTTATAGGGAAAGAAGATACAAAAGCAGAATTTGTGTAGTTTAGACTTTTTAACATTCAGCAGTGATGTACAGCTAAAATGCTTAGTTGGCTCTTAAAGATGTCAAGCAAAGTAATGGCACTAATGACTAATATTAAAGTTGGGGACTGTATTTCCTTGTCCTTTAAAGTCTAAAACTTCATAACACAAAGAGCTTGAGGAGAGCAGCTATTGTTTTGCAGTCCTTAGAGAAGAAAAGAGAGGAACAATCAAGGGATGTATGCAGAGGTGGTCGCATTGCATATTTATAGTGACTTAATGCTGCTTAATACCCTTTTTATGTAGGCTTCAAGACTTTTCTTACTCATCATTACTATGAAGGAACAATTTCATTTCAACCAGCAAAACACACACTGGGATCTCCACGAGATAAAGATAGCTGCAGAACAGGGTAGGCTCATGTTTATCTCTGGATATTTGACATGAACTATTTCAAAAGGCTTGTACATAAACAGAAGTCACAGAAATGTTTTTAACCTCAGAACACTTACTCTGAAAGAGACAAGCTTTTAAAAGTTTATTGACTTGTTAAAGAGAACACCTCATGTTATCATCTCAGTAAACAAAAATGTAATAAAATTTTGTTAGCTGGTCCCACCCCCACAAATGCAGGAAAGTATAATGGTGCAGTACCCAGTTACAAGGTGACAAGGGTGCTATGCTGTGTTACTGCTAATAAGTGAAAAGCCTGGATGCCTTGTAACTTCTGCAAATGGAAATAATTAATCAAAAATTTTCAAACATTCACATTGCAATTGGATCTAGTGATTTTAGAGATTATTTTAGTGCAGTGACAACAGCTGGCGTGGCTTGTCCTGAGGATTGGCCCTCTCAGGAATAAGCCTATTTATCCTGTGGGATATTTTTTTTTTTATAGACTACTACTATGCTATATAAATTCTGTGTGATATTCTTTGCTTGTTTCTCCTAAAAGAGAGCCTACCTTAATCTCTGTGTTCCTTCCTTTCTCTTTGCTTTCACCTGCTTGAAGTTATGCACTAGTATTTATTGTTCCGCTTCATACATGAATGTAGCTATCAGAGATATAGTAGTTGTCACAGCAGCAAACAGCACAGCAGGATACAGAGGAGCCAGAAACTACATGGAACTTCTCGAGACTGTGCTGTAATAATAGTGCTGTAACATGCAACAGATTACAGCCTCCAGTACTAGCCAGAGCAACTACCCTGATCCATCAGGTGCTTTGATACAGGAGAAGATCCAGAGGAAGAAATCTGTCATCCAGGTCTTGGTCAGGGAGTAAAGAATGCCTGACACCTCACGGGGGTTTTTACACATCTTGATAATTACTGGAAGGGCAATAAGGATGGACACAAGCAATTCAGGAAAACCCTGGGGTGTGTTGATGACAGCGATCATGCAGATGATTGACAAGCTGCCTAGGAGAAATGCTCTGCTGGTCTTGTTACAGAAAAGGAAAGTGAAGGATGTGATGGTTGAGGGCAGTCTTGGCAGTGGTGACTGTGAGATTATACAGTTTAAAATCCTGAGAGAAGTAAGCAAGACAAAAAGTAGAATTGCAGCCCTGAACTTCAGGAGAGCAGATTTTGGTTTATTCAGGAATCTTGGCAAGATTCCATGGGAGGCTGCCCTGGAGTTGGTCGGTGCATCCTCAAAGGACAAGAACAGTCCATTCTGATCTGCAGAAACTTGAGTAAGCATGATAGAAAACCAATGAGGGTGAGCAGGCATCTGAGAAGTAGAGAAGATGGAAGTGGAATGGGCTACTTTGGAAGGACACAGAGACATTGCCTAAACATGCTGGGATGGAACTGAGAAAGCCAAAGCTCAGGTGGAATTGAAATCAATGAGGGATATGAAGAGTCGTAGTTATATAATCCCTTTGTAATAAGTTTACCAATCATAACAAAAGGTAAAGGAGCTGTGGGCCTGCTGCTTAGTGGTGTGGGGAACGTAATAATAAAAGATATGAAAAAGGCTGGAAAATGACTGCTTTGCTCCAGTTTTCACTGATGTAGTCTAGCCCCAGGC